CCTCCCCAGTGCTGGATTACAGGCGTGCATCACCATGCCTTGCTTTTATGAGTACTTTTTTTTTTTTTTTCGGTCTTTTTTGAAACAGGGTCTCCCTGTAGCCCCAGCTGTCCTGGAACTCACTATGTAGACCAGGCTGGCCTTGAACTCACAGAGATCCTCCTGCCTCTGCCTCCCAAGTGCTGGGACTACAGGCATGCGCCACCACACCCAGCTCAGATGAACTGTCTTTAAATACTGATAGTAAACTGCCAAATGTCTTAGGAGACGCATAGGTAGAAGTTTTGTAACCAGAATTTTTAGGGTATAAGCCTGGCTTCTGGTAGACCCAACAAGCTAAGCTTGGACATTTGTTTCCAGTGCGCTAATTAAAGAGACAGGTGAACAGTAGAGAGGAGACTAACTGAATGTGGCTACAATGGAAAGAGGAAAAATTAAAGGGTCCAGTGACCCCGAGTCCATCTTCAGGGTACCAACATGAGGTTTAAATAGAGAGTACGAGGCATGATAATTAAGCAGTCCCTCTCAAGGTGTGATCACATTGATTATTGTCTCCACTCTGGTCCTGCAAGGTGAACTGAGGAAGTCCTTATTGCTTGTGAGGATAGGATGCTACTCGGGTGATCACTCCTCCTCCCAGGTGTAGCCTCTGCGTCATGGTGACTACCCTCATCTGGGTGGTGGAGGGGTGCTCCATGCTGGGAGGTTTTGCTGTCCTCAGAATCCAAAGCAGCTCAAGATGAAAAGTTAAGGACAAGGACTTGTCTCTGTGCCTTCAGTGAAAATAAAGAAGACAGACCCAAAAGGAAAGCAGAATGCCAGGCATTCACCCTGTTTTAAGTTACCTTGTGGGCCCAGGTGAGCAGTCAATGGTTTGTAACAAAAGCAACTTCTTAGTGCTTGCTTGAGGTTCATTAATAATATAACACATTCCAACATCTGTGAATTATGTAATAAAAACACTAAGTAAAACTAGTCTGCCTTAGGAAAAGGTTCCAGTTTGAATACATTTTGAAAAGAAATGTCATTAATATAATAACCTGCCAGTTAATCCAATAATTAAGGACTAAAATACTGTTTAGAAACTAGAAACACGTTATCAGTGTGTTGGAATGGATTATCAGAAATGACCTGTCCTCTGGCTGAAATGCTTGTTCTTTGCTCCACAGTGAGGCTGGCTGTGCCACTGGCAACTGCTGTCTTAGAAAATAGTGCCACTATGTAGCCTGGCAAGGAACTTTCAACCCTTCTGCCTCCGGTTCCCAAATGTGGGGGTAACAAACTTGTGCTAACATGCCTTGCTTTGTTCTCACTTTAAAAACAAACAAAAATAATTTTTACATTATTGATGGGTACGTGTGTGTGTGTGCGCGCACACACCTGTGTCTGTGCCACAGAGTATGTGTGTAGGTTAGAGGACAACTTGCTGGAGTGTGCTCTCTCCTTTCCCTGTGTGGGTACCACAGATGCAACTGAAGCCATCAGGCTTGGTAAGCACTCTTACCCACTGAGCTACTTTGCTGGCTTCTCATTTTTCAAAACCTTCCCTTTATTATAAGTCACAAATGTACTGTATTCAGAGAGCCACTAATCTGGGGAAGCAGAAAAAAAAAATCCTAGGGATCTCGCTTCCTTTGAGTCACCCCAGTTTACAGATTTTATAACCAATCAGAACCAAGGCAAATAGATCATTCCAAAGTCTGGTAATCTACTTTCGTCACATGGCCAACCTTGCCTCTGAAATTATGGCCTCCAGGTTCACACACACTCAAGGCCATTGACTCTTGCATTCCTCCCAAGTCACCATTTTGGTTACATCTAGGCTGAAGGTTAACTCAGAACATACTGTTAGCAGCGGTGCTGGGCTACTTACAATGTGTATCTGGAGATCTCTTTCTATAATATGAAGTTCAAATGTGCCCACACAATATAGAATGCTGTTTTGTGACAGACTTTTTCTGGGGAGACCAATACACCTGTCTGTTCACCCCAGAAAGGGAACCCACAGCAGACCAAAAAATGACCATACCAATGTTCAACTTGGCGAACCAATGAGTTTTTATGGGAGTTGCTTATAGGAGTATGCAGGGTTACTTACAAGGAGCAGAAATGACTCAAAATGCAGCTGCCCACCCCAACACTGATGACAGAAAGCTCAAAAAAGCTTTGACCCTTGCAGGCAACTCAGTCTCTCTGCAGCTTGGTTGGTCAGAGTCTCCTCCCTCAGAAGTTGTTTACTTCCTTTTATACTGCTAGGGAGGGGCCTTCTAGAATCTTCCAAGTTTCTGTTCTCCCAGGCATGTAACCTTTTCTTTACCTCTTAGACTTCTAGAGCCTCCCTGCCCCCCAAGGAAATGTTTTAATTCAGAGGAAAAAGCTCTGCAGCCAATGCAAAGGTCTTTGTCTGTCTGTCCCGCCTCACCTCTGTCATATTCATTACATCCTGAAAGCCTCATAACAACCCTTTGTGACAGGTAGTAGTAATTCCTCTCATTTTTAAAATGAAGTAGAGCCTGAAAGAGGTCAAGCCAAGTGTTTCCAAACTTACATGATCAGTAACTAAGTGCCCCTTCCAGACTCTATCATTTCAGATACCCAGTGGATATTCCAAAAAATGAAAACAACGGGTTTCGATCCAAAGCCCATACTCCCTCTATCATGCTTTTCAAATACAGCCACAAACGCAGAAAATAGTGAATTACCATTTCTTTCTAGATTTCTCAGTCAAGTCAGAAATAGGTAGGATGAAGCTTTATTTTATATTTTCATCTGGATTATGTCTCCCTGTGGGGATACACGAAGGTCAGAGTCGAAAAGAGAGGGAAGTTACAAAAGATTACAGGACCTCCTTTCACCTCAGTCCCAAAGTGGCATGGCCTTCCTCAGATATTGCTGGAGGGCAGTGTCAAACAGCTATCTCAGAAAAGCCCTGTGGCTAAGATCACAAACTCTGGAGTTCAAAGCCTCACTCTGATTCCTCTGCTTTCAAGCTGTGTGACCTTGAACAATCTCATTTCCACTGTGCCTTATTACTCCCATAAATCAGGATGGAGTACTCTTAGCTTAGGGTTAGTGGGTACCAGAGGTCTGCTAAGCTCAGTGATGCATTCTGAGAAATTTACCTAAATAGGAAGGAACATGTTAGGCCAGATACAAAAGTTAAGGCAAATGGCTATTAAAGGGCTTAAGATAGCCAAGAAATTTTGGGGTATGATCTACATTCCATCACTCCACAGTCAGGTTATTCTGATCAGCCAAGATTAGAGTCTGCAGGATCTTTAACATAGATTTAGCTTCCTCAAAGAACTTCAATTTACAATCTCTTCCTGGATTCCAAGGCTAGGTTGGGACATGTAAAGATTTATGGAAATGGCAAGAAGGAAATAAACCAGCTGCTATGTAATCTAAATTACAGAATAAGACCAGACCCCCAAGTTGGTGGTGTCATGAGTGAACTATGCCAGCTACGTAGATACATTTGTTACCTAGTGTAACTTCCCTAACAGGAATGAAAATATCCTAAAGAAACACATGCCCCTCCCTGCCTTTCGCTCTCAGAATATTGAAACAATGGTGGAATTCCTACAGGAATCTCATGCTGGGAGAAGGAAATGACTTGGGCCCTAGTGCCAGCCAGAGGGATAATTTATTTCCCAGACAGAGATTTCACACACTTCTGACAACTTGTTGGACCACTTTGAAGGACAGACTGGAGCCAGGACAAAGTTCTATGTACCTCTTGCCTTCAATTTGAACCTAAACTTCGTCAGATCCCTAAGACCTACTGGAGGGCACTGGCTGCTTTGTTACTCCTCCTCAGATGACCACATTGAATAAGTCTCCCTTGTCTGCTTTTCACTATTACTTATTACATTGTCTTTTTTTAATGTGTGTGAGTGTTTTGCCTGCATATGTGTACTACATGCATGTAATTGCCAAGGAGACCACAAGAGGTCATCAGAGCCCCTAGAATGGGCATTATAGACAGTTGTTAACCGCTTTGTGGGTTATGGGAACAGAATCTGGGTCCTCTGCAAGAGCAGCCGCTTAACTGCTGAGTCATCTCTCCAGCCCCAATATGACTTTTTATTAGAAGAAATTGAATCCTCAGGAGATAAGTGAATGCTAGAAACCACATGGCTGAAATATGGGAAGGCGGAACTCTGCTCAGATCCAAGGACAGCTAATGCCCCCTGCTCCCTGCTTCCGGTCTTTCAGTGAATCACTTCTACACTGTCCTGGAGATGCTGTGTGCACATCCTTTGCATTCTCTTTCCCAGCTGAACCAGATTATATGGGGTGATTTTTCCCCCTTTGGATTATTGCAGATGAGAGTGCCCCAGAAAAGAAAAGAAAAACAAAAAACAAAAAACAAAACAAACAAATAAAAAACCAAACTAAATTCATTCCTGAGCGGTTTTCTTTCTTATTTCTACTGGAGGTTTTTTTTTTTTTTTTTTTGGTCTTTTTGAGACAGGGTCTCCCTGTAGCCCCAGCTGTCCTGGAACTCACTATGTAGACCAGGCTGGCCTTGAACTCACAGAGATCCGCCTGCCTCTGCCTCCCTCCTGAGTGCTGGTATTAAAGGCATGCACCACCATGCCCAGCTCTACTGGAGTTTTATAGTTCAAAACATTCTCAAATATTGTTTTATTTTCTCTTATTCACTTTTGCACACACATACATATTTGGCCTTGTATAATTTACACAAATCATAGGGTCTAATTTAACAACTTAGCTTATGAGTAATTTTTTCCAATTTTTCATGAGGAAATGAGATAGTTTCATCATTCAAGGAAAATTGATCTAAATATTCCACTGCAAAGAGGACCAGGGATGTGGCTGTTGGCAGAGTTTTGCCTATCGTGCACAGGCTTCTAAATTCAGTCCCCAGCACCAATTAACTCTGGGCACAGTGGCACATGCCAGTAATTTTAGCACTGGAGGTGGAAACAGGAGGATCAGAAGTTCAAGGTATGTATCCTCAGCTACGTACCAGTTTGAGGCCAGCCCGGACTACACCTGATCCTGAAAAAAAAAAAAAAAAACCCACAGGCCACAGGTAAAAGGTACTGGCAGCCTGAAACAGGTGAGTATGTTTAAATGAATGTGAACATTTACTATAAAATCCCCTATTTCAGGGGCTGGAGAGATGGCAGGCAGCTAACAACTGTCTGTAACTCCAGTCCCAGGGGATCCGAACACCACTTCTGACCTCCATGGGCATTGCAGGACACAGGTGCACTCACCTACATGCAGGCAATATATGCATACATAAAAAATAAAAATAAATAAAATATCCCCTATTTCCTCACCCTATTAAAAATCAGTTATCCCAAAGTGTAGACTGTATCGGTGTGAATTTTGCTTTTAATTTTAAAGCATGTTTCTGATTGTGTATGTTTTATACAAAGTGTCTTGTTTCTCCTTGTTTTCTCTGGCTCTAGGAGAGTGCCCACTATCTAGCATGCGTCCTTTGCATTTCTTCCAAGTGGAATAACTGTTTTCAAAGCACACCACAATTGCTTTACTGCCATTGTGCATCTATTTTAGGTTGAAGAATTTGATACCAATCTCACTCATGTGCAACAGTCAGAATTCTACTTGGAGCCAAACATCAAGTACGAATTTCAAGTGAGATGTCAAGAAACAGGTAAAAGGTACTGGCAGCCCTGGAGTTCACCCTTTGTCCACAAAACACCTGAAGCGGGTGAGTATGTTTATATGCATTCTTCACAGCTTTTCTTTTGACTTCTTCTAAGTATTATTTCAGCTTGACATCTACTTAAATTGAACAAAACTATTCTATGGTAGGCAATAACATTTGAATTATCATTTTGCTTTGCTGTTTAAAGCTGACAAGGATTTGTGAAATGGGTCCCAATTGTTCCTGGGCTAAAAACCATTTGGAGATGCTTAAGGTTAACCCATTAACTGTCTTTGCCTCTGCAGTGAGTGTCTGATTCCACAGATAGCTGGGTGGCGGTTCTTACAAACACTCTGGGTGTTGGTGAGGCATATAATTATCTAAGACCTTATTTTGGAAAATATCATTGAATTACAAAAACTATAATAAAAAATCAAATCACATGAATGAACACTGAAATCAGAAACAGTTAAGACACTTAACCATGGAATTTGTTCTTAACAGGATCTAGTTGATCTATCCTAGTCCTAATATTATTAGTTTAATCTTAAATATATTTAATCATGCCATACAATACCAATTCTTAGCTAAGTTGATTTCAATAGAAAAAAAGAATAATAAAGTGAAACAACTATAATTGTCCTGTTATTCCATCATGGCTTGGAGAACCTGATGCTGTCTGCCTTCTATATATAGTTTACATAAAGGGTTTTGTTTTGCTTTTCAGAAATGGACTTAACTATACTCCTGCCATTATTAGCATCTAACATCTTGGAACTGTGATTTATGATTTCAAAAGGAGGGAGACAGACCAGCCAAGAAGTTGGCGCCCCCTGTTGCCCAAATCTTAGAAATACATTATTAAGGGGATCATTTTCAATAACAATGACCAGTGGTGTTTGTTGAATGTTAAAAATTTTTTGTTTGCTTTTAATTTTTTTTATTTAATAACCACATGATTAGGAGAAGCATTTCATTACAGCTTTAACATATTCAGTAACACATTCCAGAGCAAGGTCACATCTCTTTCAACAGCAGCTATAAATTTTTAGGCTCACAGTTGAATTAATACAGTTATACAATATTGAACTCAGTATAAACCCTATAAGACATAAAATTGAATGAGTTTTTACCCTCTAAAGAATATCTCCATTTCATTTTAAAATATGCTGTTTACTACATTTGTAATGCTACTAACACTTAGATGTTTGCACATGTGTCTTTAATCTCTATGTATCTGATTACTTCTAGTCACAGTCAGTTACACTCAGATCCT